ACTACGATGACCTGGATGACTGAGAACCTTCACAGACAACCTTATTGTGTGATTTTTATATCTAAGATACTCTGAACACTTTATATTAGATTGGATTGATGTTCATTTCATGCATAGAGGGGTGGAAGTACTGAAAACAACTGCTGTAACAATAAGGATGTTGTACATACTATAAACTCCTAGTGTAATCTACCTGTTCAGCAGCATTCGACTCGAACCCGGTCTAGTCTCACTACCAGTTTTAAACCTTCCCTCTCAGTCTTGCTGCTACAAATTATACTGAAATTAACACCTAAACGTGCATTTTGTGCACGTCCTAAAATGCAAACAAACTCTGATTTCTGCTTGCTGCCCAGTAACTGTTTTTTTTTTTCAATCCTGAAAATGGGTAATTAATTGGTAATTGCTACCAAGAATATTTGTTTTTAGCAGTATTAGGGTATAAATTATGATTTTCTTTAGGTGGGCACCAAAAATCTATGGGGGAAAAAGAATGAGTGTGGCAGTGGGTCTTTAGGACACACGTGTTACTGCAGCGTGTGTGTGTGTGCGCGCGCGCGTGTGTTGTGTGTATATGTGTGTGTCAGTCAGTCAGTCAGTCAGTGTGCTGCTGGCCTGCCTGCCAGAGAGGGGAGTCGAGAGCTCTGCTGGGAACTACATGGTGCTCAATTTTTCAAGATGTCGTCGCTGGAACAGAGGCTGTCGCGAATCGAAGAGAAACTAAAGCAGGAGAATGAAGAAGCTCGCCGGAGAATCGACCTCAACATCGACATGAGTCCACAGCGGTCACGACCGAGGCCGAGTGAGTGTCCACTGGGGAGGACCGGGGTGTCGGTAACGGCCAGAATAGCAGGGGGAAAGATCGGAGCTGCGGGGCCGGAGAGCGGGGGGAGAGGAGAGGAGCGGAGTGAAAGAGTCGGGGCTGTTATGCTGCTGCTACCTTTATGCTAACAGGCTAGCTACATAAACAAACACAGACTCAGGCTGGCCCGCTTATTTTATTGCCAAATTAATAATTAAATAAGTGGGACATTTTCTGTAGTGAGTAACGTAAAGGAAAAGTATACAAACCGAAGCGATGTTACGAAACGTCTTGCCGGTAGACGTGTCCCTGAATCTGTTTTGATTGTCCTGTCAAACATGCTAAGCTAGCAGGCTAGCAGACGCTCTGATAGTCTGTGGCGGGGCCCAGCGTCAGAAAATGTAATGCAGTTTCAGTTTGCGCATGAAAAGCTGTGGTCCTGCCAGTCAGCCGCAGAGCATCTATACACTCTGAAAACCTGCAAGCGGTACATTTGATCGTGATTTTTGCCATAGACTTTGTTTTAGTTGCCATTTTGATCTTGACGAGACATGCTAATTTGAGCAGGCTAAATAACGCTAGCTCTGGATGCGTTAACTTAACGTAGGTTACGGCTTGGCTGTTGTGGCAAACACTGGTGCGACGTAACAAATCTTGTGAAAATTGAGATTTGTCGCACATATATTGAATGAAGCGTTCCACGGGTGTTAGTGGACAACAACTCTGTGTCACAGGAGCTGGTGTTAGCAGTGATGTTGGGGCCCTTTCGGGCGAAAAGTCAAGCAGCAGGGAGGTCTGCAGCCTGCCTCTGCTGTGGTTTACACACCAAAGCTCTTCATTATCTTTACATTCTTACCAGCAGACTTTCAAAGTGTTAGCAATCTGAACCTCATTTTTTTTCTGCAGATCTTGTTGTCCGTTCATTAGGTTCGAGACCACAAACCTTTTTCCTCCTGTTATTTGAATTGTTTGTTATGAAGCTGATTATGTTGTCACAAAGAGAGTGAATGGGTTAAATCCGAAGTTTTTTCTTATTGTTGAAATCTCATTTGAAGTCTACAACCTCCTAAAAATCTGCTCCCTTGGATTCAAATCCTGGTGATAAAGGTCATTTCTGCGAGATTAGAGCTTGATTTATTGCCAACAAAGGTGCAAAATTGGCTCTTTTTTTTTCCACCTTGTGTTATTACATGAAAAGTCTGATTGACTCCATTAGAATCACTTGTTTTTAACTTTGGCGTCATTAATGTCTAATGAAGCCATGCAAAACGTAGCCCATCATGACACTTTTCCAACACGACGGGCCCTCTGTGCTTTTTGATCCACCTTATTTTCTTGATAGCGTCACAAATGCAGTCAATGGTCACATAAAAATTGACTGAATAACAACAATAACTGTTTAAAAACTACAACAAGATAAGTGTTATCCCCACTCTGTACTGACTGGAGGTAAAATGTTCTTTTCTACAGAATTAGGATGCACCAGTCTAATATCTGGACAAAATATCGAAATATGATTCCTCCAGTGTTTAAATACTGCAGTTTTCCAGTTTAGGCGAAAATTGTGAAATCACCCACCAATGTGTACTTAAGGGCCCGTACCTCAGAGTATTTACTGAATGACAGTCAAATTTTGCATGGCTTCAGTAAATACACTAAAGTTACTGTATAAGGACAAAAAACAGCTGATTGATGGAGCTTTTTTCAGATTTGACTGGTTTCATATGAAGTGACACAGTAAGCTACTGACCCACTTTTTCTTGAACCTTCAATACGTGGCCTTATTTTAAATCCTGGGAAAAGAGTGCCAAAGAAAATATAAGAAACACTATGATTCATTAATGTGCAATGTAATTGATTTTAGTCTTCATGAGATTAATAGACTATAAGAAAAAGTTCAATTTAAGTTTAAACCACTCAAGTTATGTTGTGAAGAAATGAGCGAGTGACGTGTGTGTGTGTGTGGTGAGGTTTTTTTGTTTGTTTTTGAGGGATTTTTATGATTTGTGTGTGTGCAAAAGATGTGCGATTGTCTCAGTAGAACACTGCAGTAATGTGCGTGTGTGTGTATTTTCTTTCCTCCGTCTAGTCATCGTGATCCAGCTCAGTCCTGCTCCAGCCCCTTCCCAGCGTGCAGGTATCATTCAGTCCATCGCTCTCTCTGCCACTGCACCCCCCCACCTTACCAACACCTTTGTCCTCCATTGCATCATCCACTCCCTCTTCCTTCATCTTCTCTCTTTCTTGTTTTTTGTTTTTAGTATAAATGCACACTTCTTTAGACCTATAAGACAAGAATAACTTTTGCTGCTCCTCACATTCTCAACAGTTTTCTTCGTTCTGGCCCTGCAAGTAAAGCTTAAAAAACACCTCGATACCACGACGTTCTCCACGTTTCTCTTAACATCCAGTTTAATTTAGAGGTTGAATGGATAGGGCTATGGTGAGAAATATGATACTGTGTTTACAAATGATAGCTAGTGTTAAATCTGACCACCACCTAATATGGGGTTATATCGTCTAGGCAGACTAGAATAGACTTTGAATAACTCATAAAAGTAACTTATGTGAAAGATATGGATTACCATCAGCAGGCCAGCATATAAGCATCCAGTTTTATTTCCTACTCAATAAGGATGCGCCGATCATACAATCTAAATATTGGATAATGGTGATAATACTGTGATCCAACAAGACAATGCTTTTTTTTTTTCTCTCTAACCATTGTTATCATTGTTTAGTCTCACACTTGTGTGGAAGCTTTTCCTGGACTTCATACAAAGAAACGTGTTTTCTGTCGTCTCTGTTGAAGCAACTTTCAGCAGCTCTCTTATTCACACGGGATGGTGGGTAGCTCCACATATTTGATTGGGTAGACTTTTACTCTGAATTACTCTTCCTGACGTGAGTTCAAAGCAGGGATCGACTCCATACTGTCATTTCACTTCACTTGTATCCTGACAGCTCCGCATCCAACACGGGTTTGTGAGGAGCGGTGAAAGGAGGTGCGTTTGGACTGAGAGAAGGAAAGGACAACTGTAAATGAGAGCTATGCACAGTAGCCTGTGATTCTTACAGTGAGCTAGCGCAGATAAATTGGAAAAGCTGGATCGGTGCGTCCCTGCTTCGTGTGGTCATCCTACAGCTGAATCAGTTTAATCCCTGTTTATGAATCCAGCGCTGTTATTTTATCCCAGCAGTCATTTACACCTCCTCTACACTCACATCATCCCTCCATCTTTCCATCTCTGCTCCTCCCTCTGTGTGAATGCGTGTCAGTGGCAGGGAAGTGTTGGTATTTGTTAATGTTCACTGTGTGTGTGTGGACATGTGTCGGATGATTAACCTGTGTTTCGCTGGAGGCAGAGAATCACGGTGCATGTGGCTTTTTTGCACGGCACGATGGTTTGTTTTTTTTGTTTTGTTTTTTGGGGGTTGTGTTTTGTTTGACACAGTCTCTAATCCAGCATCCCCACTGGTCCGCCTGCAGGAGTGCTGCGAGCACTCCGGCCTTCCTCTCCCTCTTCGCTGTTTTCTTTGTGTGTCGACTGAAGACTTGCCTTCCTGTCCAAGAGTGACTGTCTGTCTGACTTCCAGCCTCAGTCTGTGCTATGCAGTTTTGGCCGAATCTCTTCTGTCTCTCTCACATCGGATCGTTTGATGTTGTGTGTTTTCTCATCTTCTGGCACCCTCCCCTTCCTTTTGCAGCGGCACTGTGTGAGCAGGAGGCGGTGCAGCAGTGCCTGCGAGTATCTGTGTTTGTGCGTCTCTCCCTTCCCTCGCTCTGTCTGCTCATCAATCCTCCCATCCGTCCATCTGGAGCCAGTCGAACTGTGGAGATGCAATTTGTGCCAAAGACCGCCTGAATCCTCCTTTCTTGTTACACTAACCCCCTCCTCTCCTTCACTAACTGGTTCTCCCCTTACAGGCTTCATTCATACAGGTGACTCACGGATCCAAACGCCCGCTGGCTCTCTACAAAAAAGCTCCAAATCGTATTAAAAACAACACTGCATGGTCCTTGAGATACGTTGCATACTGGTTGCAAACCTTTAAGACGATGATGGGAGATTGCTGTTAACCTGTCTGTAATAATATTTACGTTCAGGGTGGTCACTGCAGCTGCTGACTTTCTGTCTGAGAATTTGGTGCATGACCGGTACTAATACTACTGCAGATCGTTTCTTCCTGAAATTCTTTAATACGTCTATTATTGAAGGATGAGTTTGTGCTTGTTTTGCATATGAACCTGATATTACACGGCTGGTGGCGTTTTAACATGTCTTCGAATGCATGATTTGGACTTATCTTTATAAAGGGCTAGAAGCATCTGGTATTCACTGTCTTGATTTCCTTTGCAGCCAAACCACACCTACAGCGCTTTAACAGTTTAACCAAAATATTGTAAAATCGTCTGATCGGATCAATTTTCGGATCAGTGAAAAAAGACAAAAATTGAACATTTAATTATTCACTTATTGAAGTTTTTTTTTTGTCCTGTTTAAAAACATTCAACTCTAGTCTCATTCCACGCAATTATTAAAAAACAAATTATGGTTCAATATAGGGCAGTACAGGGCTTTGTATCTACCACTCAATTCAATTTTATTTTATTTATAAAGCGCCAAATCACAACAACAGTTACCTCAAGGCGGTTTATATTGTAAGGTAGACCCTAGAATAATACATACCGCTCATTATATCGCACTCCGCTGTGATATAATGAGCTGTCACGGTCACGTAGCTTACGTTGCCCTGGAGGTCCACCCAGTTGTAGTAGTTAGGGCAACAGAAGATGCCTGGGACAGTTCAGCAATAACTTTAAACTGTTCCTGCTCATACATGCTTGGAACAGGACATCATAGCGTGGCTCAAGCACGTTCATCATAGTTTAAACCCCTTGTTTTGCACAACAGAATATGGCCTCCCGTCTGCAGCTAAACACCCCAATAGCTTTTGTAATAGCTTTAGCCCAGTCGGATTGGGCAGCAAAGGGCTGCTTAAATACCGAAAACTCCTCTGCTCCTCCACTTGGACCGCTAGCACTGGCCATAACTATCGCTTGACAGACCCACCACGCCACCATACACATACTTTTTTTTTTTTCTCCTTCTTTTTCGAATCTTCGGATCATGTGCGTGCCGAACCGTGGAGTGGGATCGGTTTGGATTATGGATCAACCGTGATCCGTTGCACCACTAATTAAGATAAGTCAGTACTTGATAAAATCGGAAATTGCTGGCAATCTAAGGACACATTAAATATGTGCTTCCTCATTACAGGGTTAACCCCTGGTTCAGGTTTTCCTTTGCAGCGCAGGCTAATTAACAGCCTCTTTTGGTGCAGGGGTTTGTGCTTGTACTGTTTCCCGCTAGATCGCTTCGTTCTAAGATCTGTAATGAGTAAAATACTTTCATATTCAAAATCGCGGCCTGAAGCAGTAAAAATGAAACCCGTGTTGTAATGAACTTGTAGTTTTCCTCTTAAAAACAAACTGTGACTCCCAAACTGTGCAGTAAATCTGTGCAGTTTCTCTCTGTCTGAGAATAGTGCTCTGAGATAACCGTCCTGTTTGTTTTAACGTTTGGTCAGGACATCAGCGGAACCAAAACAAAGCTGTAACACTCAAAGAGGAGGGGAAAGAAAAAAAACAAGTTCCAGTAATGGCTAAATAATGTGCAGGATCTAGGTCATAGCGATGTAATGAGCAAACTCTTTGACCTCAGCAAGCATCATATCTTTCTTTTATTGTGCAGAGAACAGTCAGAATACCATTAAAAACGCCACATTATCGCCTTCTTTACTGGTGGTCAGCAGCTTTAAGTAGCTACCATCCCTTTAAGCAACAGTACCATCATCATCCATCTTCTCCTTTCAGGGTCTAATTTTTCATATCCCCTCTCCCCCAGCGCTCCAGCTGCCCCTGGCTAACGATGGAGGCAGCCGTTCGTCATCTTCAGAGAGCTCGCCCCAGCACCACCCGTACCCCAGCCGCCCACGACACATGCTAACCCTGCCCACGCCTCCGTATGGCCTACAGAAGAGCCTAGAGAAGTGCGTTCACATTTTAAGCATGTGCTGTTCTGATTACAAGGGAAAAAAGCATTTACAGGTTTTACTGTGTCCTCGTGGTCCTATAATGAATGGTAATGGTTTTGATTAAAAATCAGTAACCTTTCTGGGAGTATCCCAGTACTCACATTAATTTGTAAGACAAAGAAGGAACGCAGAGAGTAGATGCACACTCTGTGACAGGTCATGATGTTGTGTGTTATGGATCTACATGCAGAGTGTGGGTGAAAGAGACGCTCAGTAATCCACTCCATTTATGAGTCAGGTCTCTCATCTGGCAGCGTAGGTTGTACGCACTTCCTGTTGCATTTCCTGACACTGATTTATTTTCCTTTTTGTCCTCCGCCTCCCCTGCAGTGCAGAGATTGACCAGAAATTGCAGGAGATCATGAAACAGACGGGTTATTTGAAGATCGACGGGCAGGTGAGACACGTTGTAGTTACAGAAGTGAAACTAAGAATGAGGACGCAGACGTGATGTGGCTTTTGCTTTGTGTCTCTGTGAGCTGACGCTTTTTAGCAAACGCTGTCTGTGCAACCAAACCTCAACGCTCAATCTTCTTCCAAAACAATAAAAAAAAAGTTTTTAAAAATAGCGTCTGGCACTCAGGCGTGAATCAAGCTATAATTGTGACCTCTTTTCCCCCCAAAGATTTATATCCTGTTAACGGGCCTGGTTAGTTGTACTACAGAGAAAGTAGGAAAATAATAAATAGTAAATGGACTGGTTTTTATATAGCACTCAAGTACTCTACTTGAGTGCTCATAGCACTTTAATCGGTGTGTCTCATTCACGTAAGCACATTTTTCTACATCTGAGTCTACACACACTTACTCCCAACGTGTTTACCAAAGATGCTTTGTCATGCAGACTGGAATAGGCAGGGATCAAACTGCAAACCTTCCAAGTAGTAGATAATTTGCTCTACGACAGCTTCCAGCACCTGGTATTCCCACTTCCAATAGGAACCAAGCCCAAATCTGTTTAGCCTCTGAGATCAGGTGAGGTCAGGGTGGTATAGCTGGCTAACTGGCTAATAATATACAGAAATTAAGCCAGACGTATTTGTTAGTTGCAGTGCGGTATACTTACAGGTTACATGGTGTGTGTTTGTACGCACGCTCTCTCCGGGTTCTCCGGCTTCCTCCTACAGTCCAAAGACGTGCTCTTAGTCAACAAGGTGCTGGAAACCTTCAAGATTTTGGTCCATGTTGACGTGACAGCGTCACACATTTGCTGCAGATTTGTCAGCTGCAGGACTGTGATGTAAATCTCCGCAATATCCCAGAGGTCCTCTATTGAGACCTTGTGACTCTGGAGGTCGTTTGATTACACTGAAAGAAACCAGTTTGAGATGATTTGATGTGGTCTGTAATGTCACAGGGCCTGTCTGGCATCCAAAACCATGCCATGTTCAAAATCCACCTAATTCTCCATTCTGATGCTCAGTTTGAGCTTCGGCAGGTTGTCTTGAGCATGTTTACATTCCTAAGTGCTGCCATGTGATTGGCTGATTAGAAATGTCATGAAGGAGCAGTTGAAGAGGTCCACCTAATAAATAAATAAATAAATAAGTAAGCACAGAGAACCGTGTTAAATCAGGTCCACGTCCAGCATGTTCTTGGGCAGTGCACAGACAGCAAACAGAGCATCATGCACACCAGCAACAACCTTGGCGTGTCTGCTGTTTGCTGAACAATGTCTGGCCTTGTTTAGTTTGTGTTTTTTCTCCCTCTTCCAGCCTTCAGGTCTAGTTTCATACCGAGTGCCAGTCGGAGTTTGAAGATGCTTGAGAAAATTATGTGACTCATTACTGCTCTCCAGATTGTTTGTTCTTCTTCTCATTAGCCCAAAGGCTCTGCTACATAATGCACTCAGTGAGCTGTCACTCACTGCAGCACAGTCAACAGTGACTTATTTTTAACAAAGCAAGGCAATTACGCATCTTCTCACTGTGTGCTGCTATTCTTTAGCCTTGGCTCGTCCACAGATCCAAGCGTTTGTTCTTAAGTATCACAGAGCAGTTCACTGTTGCTGCATGATGCAGAAAGTCTTCAGGTTGTTAAAGCGTTTGTATTTGTATTGTTTTAACATTTGAATCACTAAAATACTTGAAACACAGAGTCTGAAATGTTGTTTCAGCGGTATCCAGCAGAGGTAACAGACCTGTTCAGCGAGGGGGAGATCGGCAGCGGGACTTGTGGGCAAGTCTTCAAAGTGCGATTCAAGAAGACGGGCCATGTCATTGCGGTCAAAGTAAGATAGTAGTTTTGTTTGTTTGTTTTTTAAAATGGGCAAAAAAGAAAAAACAAACCAAAAAAAATTCAAAACTGATCAAAATTAAACACTATACACACAAATATTGCATTTGTCTTTGCAAGACTTGATAATAATGCAATAAATGGAGAACGAGGCGATGTAGGAGTTTGAATCCTGGTGACTTTCACCTCAACGTCAAGGTTTTTACTCATAAAGGGGTTCGGGTGAAGAGTGAAGCTGGGACCCAGCCCCGGATCAGGATAGATGGATGGACACGCCTGGTTCATCACATCACTTCATAATGTAGTTGTACTCATTCGTTTTGTTCCCCATTGTCAGAAAGTTAAAGGCGCAGGAAATTACTGATACTGGCTCTCAAATATCATCTTGGCCAGCCGTCTTTAAAGTGTTTGCAGCTGCAGATAAAAATAGATTTTTCATGACATTATCAAACACTGTGAAATTTATAATGGTGACATTTCTAAAATGTTAATGACAGAGGCAGGAAATGTAGTGATTCGTGAAAGATCCCTGCTTCGACCCCCAGGAGGAGACATCCGGCGTAAAAATCAGCCAAGTTAAATAACGTGGCGCTACCCGCTGTGGCGACTCCTCAGCTGCAGTCGTGTTTGTGCTTGTAAACCGTGGAAAATATCTGCACGCTAAACACAATCGTACATGGTTCTGCTGCAGCGCAGATACCCCTGCTTCTCAGAAATTTTTGGACTAGATTGAAACCACAGCGTTATGGCGACTTAGCTTAGATGCTGTGAACACTCACATGGACACGTTTATTTGTATTTCCTTTTCTTGGATGGCTGACCGGCTGAAATGTGGATCCCAGCTCAGTTACTTTGTCCTTTATTGTATGAACGCCTATATTTTATTTTTTAATCTTGGTTTTTGCAATTTGAATAAAACTGCGCTTCTTAATGTGAGTATTTTTTGGACTAATTGTAGTCCAGACGTGTTTGTCTGCTCATAGTAGATGATGGGAACACACATTCTCTAACTTCAGGTACCATAATCAAAATACTGGGACTAACTCCAAACAGAGAGCCAGAGATTGAAGGCACTCAAGGCTCTGCTCAGTGTAGTCTCACTGTTTTAATTTTCCTTTGTACTTTAATTGTGAATAGTTTACCAACAGAGGAGCAGTTACAGCCCCATATAACAAACCCGCTATTAATGAGATCATTTAATTGTAGCCCTTCTGGGATGTTTAATAATAAGGCAGTCAGTCAAAGCACCAGGGGAGCCTTTGTTTTATTAAAGCCTACACTCGGCGTAGTGCCTGTGTTCATTTACGTTGTCTGTGTGTCACCAGCAAATGCGTCGCACAGGAAACAAAGACGAGAACAAGCGGATCTTGATGGACCTGGACGTGGTGCTGAAGAGTCATGACTGCCCTTACATCATCCAGTGCTACGGCGCCATAGTGACCAACGTGGGTGTTCCCAAAATACTTAACTGTTTGTAATCACAGCAATAAAATTAAAGTACTGTAACAGTGCAGCCCCAGGTTTATTTTATATATCTGCACCCAGGGTGTTTTTGACTCTTATTTTAGTGAACTCCCAAGCTCCCAGACCTTAGCTACTAACTGTGTGTATGTGTGCAGACGGATGTATTCATCGCCATGGAGCTGATGGGAACTTGTGCTGAGAAGCTAAAGAAGAGAATCCAGGGTCCCATCCCAGAGCGAATCCTCGGAAAGATGACGGTGGCAGTAAGTGGCAGGAACACACACAAACCACTCTGCTCCTATGTTCGTTTTTGTTCTTACAATCTGTGTGTGTGTGTGTGTCCTCTGTAGATAGTGAAAGCGTTGCTGTACCTGAAAGAGAAACACGGCGTTATCCACCGGGACGTCAAACCCTCTAACATCCTGTTAGACGCTAAAGGTCAGATTAAACTGTGCGACTTCGGCATCAGCGGACGCCTCGTCGACTCCAAGGCCAAGACCCGCAGCGCCGGATGTGCTGCCTACATGGCAGTAAGTGAAAACACACATACACACAGACTAGCCGTTAAGGGGGTGTGTGTACACTGCTTAAAAACTTGAAGACACACTTTAGCATCGAGTCGGTTAAGCTTCTGTGATGTTGATCTGGTCAGTTAAGTAGCCGAGACGGTTGTTAATTAGTTTCAGTTAATTAGTTATGTTACATTTGAGCCTGATGCCACCAGGCTTCACCTCAGGCTGTCCTGGAGCTGAGTGATGCCCTGAACCAGATCTGGGAGGAGATCCCCAAACGAGGGTAGTCTCATTAGTTTACTTTAATTTTTGGGTGTCTTAGAATTCAACCCTGATAACCTGTTATTGCTGCTTTGTTGTGGACAGTGCTATGCTGGATAACTTGGTGAGAGTAGAAGATTTTAATCAATCAAGTATAAACGAACTGACTACAAACTAAGTGAGGGAACCACAGAGCAGGTTTAGTGGTGACTGTCACGATGGTGTAAGATAAAGCACAAGACTTGAACGTGTTCAAACTTTGAGTGTTTATGAGGCTGTGCTTGCAGAAATCCCACTCCACACAATGCACACTCTTGGGACAGCTAACCTTAGTGTTGCCTGTTCTTTTCTTTCTTTTTCTTTTTTTTTTCTCGTTCTTGCAGCCTGAAAGAATAGACCCTCCAGATCCCACCAAACCTGACTATGACATCCGGGCAGACGTGTGGAGCCTCGGCATCTCTCTGGTAAGTCTGTCATTTCAGTCTGTGCCCTTGGTCGTAATATTTACATCGATGACACTGAAAGACAGTTGCAAAATAAGAACCGAACGGCAGATCCATTCACATTAAAACAGCTGTTTGAATGTGCAGCTGTGATGCATGAGGTGATGCAGCGATAAGATGTGGTAATAACGGCATATCGCAAATCGACTAACATTTTTAACGAGTGTCGTCATAACTGCATCGGTTTCTAGTGGCTGCGAATACTGGGAGTTAAGTAGGTCAGATTACAAGTAGTGTAGACCAGCGTGTAGCATTTTGTGTGTGCGCGCAAACTAAAATTGTTCATGTCCAACCGTTTAGATTAGCAAATACGTTGCAACGCAACACGAGTGCATAAATTTGACCTGTGATGTTTAAAATTTATAGATTCTCTGTCTTATTACTTATCATGTTTTTTTGTTTTTTTTAAATTGAGTATAGTTTGTTATAACCAGATAGGAACGGTTGGCGTTGCGTATTCGTTGACACAAACTGTAATCTAAAAGTTCACTCTTGGGCTCAAAAACCAAAGTACAAAGTGACAGAAATGTTTTTGTTTCTATTTGTAGATCACTTGAGGGCATTAACAGGTTGCTTGTGGTTCTTCCAGGTGGAGTTGGCTACAGGACAGTTTCCTTACAAGAACTGCAAGACAGACTTTGAGGTTCTGACCAAAGTGCTGCAGGAGGACCCTCCTCTTCTGCCTCTCGGCATGGGTTTCTCCCTCGACTTCCAGTCCTTTGTCAAAGACTGGTGAGTGAAAATTCCACTGTAAAGCTGGCGCTCACTGACAGCAGTCCACTCTAGAGCCATCATGTGATCAGGGTGATTACTGGACAGCTGCGTCCACATTAAGAGTAAACGTTTCTGTTCTCTCAGGCTTATAATTCATCTGTGTGCACGAATGTGATCATCTGTGGTGCAGTTTGTGTATATTTAAATGGGTGTTTTGTTGTTATTTGTCTTGTATTTCAGTCTTTCTGATCTCTTGTGTACTTCTGTAAAACACATGCCTAATTTTCCTGTAACAAAATGTGCAATAGAAATAACATTGATGCTAAGTTCATTAAAAATCTGCGTAAAATGCATTTATCTCTCTATAGCCTCACAAAGGATCACAGAAAAAGGCCAAAATACCATCAGCTGCTGGTGAGTCGCCTTTTTTTTCTAATGGTCGACCCAGATCTTTTAAATTACTCACAGCACAACTGTAGGTAAATGCAATATTTATCTTTTCTCCTCCACTTTAGGAGCATAGTTTCATTCGGCGTTACGAGGTGCTCGACGTAGACGTGGCTGGTTGGTTTCAGGTGGTGATGGATCGCACCGAGTCGCCTCGCAGCAGCCAGTGTTACAGCCATCAGCATCAACTCCACTCGCTCTTCAGTAGGTAGCCTAGCCTCGACCAGCCTGGCGTCAGCTTAGCCGTACGCTAGACTAGCCTAGCTTCAGCTTTGCCAAGCCCAGACTCAGTCTATTCTAGTCTAGCCGTCCGCAGCTACGCCAAGCGCTACACCCATCCCGTCTGTCCATCTGTCCTGGGAAGAAGAGACCTGAAGATCCCACAGAGGAGGGAGGACGAAGACTCAGTGGAGGACTCTGGATGGACAGATTAAGCGATGGAGCGACAGAGGGATGGATGGCTGACGCAGGTGGTTCTGGTTATTAGGGTGCTGAATCTGGACAGACAGACACGGGGTTGGGGGGGGGGGATGCACGCTGTAGTGAGCTTCATTTGGTTTAGACACTGTTAGCGCTCACCACGCTATCATCACATCACAGTGTGTGTTGCAGCCAGACACTCACATACAAACTGTGTGTGTAGCTTGTATAGGCTTTTACATTTTCTCCTCTTTTCAGTAGTTTTACACACACGTCTGTCTGTCGCCGACATTGATCCAAGCCATTGGATTCGTAAACAGAGTAGTCACTACACACTGGAACAAAGCATCTGCTACTTCAGCAAAAACAAGCCGCTCTTGTACATAAACGATTTAGAGGACAGAACAAAGTCTGGTGCAATTATGATTCTTCAGGTGTTTCTACCATCACACATTCTCAGGCTGTATCTATATGTAGTGTGTCTGTGTGCGTGTGTATATGTCAGTGTGAGCATTTCTATGTATGGATAACTATAACGACTCACTCACCGGCTTTTAATAGTGAGGTTGTATTTCCTCGTTAATTCACCTTCACACTACAGCTCTAACACACAAACGAGAACAGATTAATCTGTTGGCTGTGCTTTTAATTTGAAAAGCTTTTGTTTTGTTTTTTTGTTTTGTTTTTAAATAGCATAATTTTTTGTGTTGGGGAGAAACAATGAAAAACACTCACAAAAAAATTAGCGTTGCATTTTAGCTTTATAGAAAATAAGTCGTGTATTGTTTTGAAGACGGGTTTGTTTGTTTTTTTTGGTGATCGATGCGTGCCGCGAGTACATCCACACTGACGTTTTTGTTTTAAAAAGTGTAGTTTTTGCTACATGTGCGATGAACATCCACACAGCAAGGCTGTAGTGGGTCATGCTCCGTCATTCAACGACCTCCAGTCTATAGCCCAGGTTCACACACACATTTGGCTGTTAACGGGTCTGTAAATTAGGCAGCAGGGTATGATGAGGTACCTTCTGATTGGTCAGACATAAGCTGGAACTTGCAATACTAATCAGGAACTAATCAGAGTTCAGTTTATTTAGGCATTTAAAACACTACAAAAAGCGGCCACGTGTCATTCTGTTATTTGTACTTTCAACAAAAGCAGAAATGTAACTAATTATGAGCCAATTTTAAAAATCCAAACATGCACAAAGTTTGGAAAGACACAAAGAGTGTGGTTTGTAATGGAGAGCCCACTTCCAATCAAGCTAGGTTGTAGTAGACCCTGTGCATGAATGTGAACAGTACAGGGAGAAGCTTGGAAACTGCGACAGTCTCTTGTGTTACGTTCAGAAGCCGTCTCGCCTCATTTGTCCAAGCAGAAAAGCTTCTTGCAGTTGGCTTTGTTGCTCTGGAGTATTTTCCTGAAGCTACCGGCCCTCTGCTTCCTGTTTACACTGGCACACTTGTTCACGTTGTATGCGATATATCAGCGTGATATAGTGTTACAGGCGTGTTTAGTGTAGACGGAGATTTTTAATGAAAAACGCCGTTTTAAAATGAAACGTATTAGTGTGGATGTAGCTTGAACTTCTTCTGGAAGATTGAAAGTTGAAAGATTTAACAAATGTTACAAGAGAGAGAGCAGCTGGGTGATTTTAAAAAATGGGAGCGTTTTTGGGGGGTTTTGTACAGAGAATTTAAAAGGTGTAGATCTTATGACCTGTGGAGCATTTCTTTACTTCACTCTCTGTTCGTCTACCTCTTCCTTTTTGTCCACCTCTCTGCCTCCGTAGTGCTCCACAGTGTTCTTAGACCAAAGGCTGCGCGTGGGTTGTTGGCGGAGGCCGAGAGACTTAGATTTGCTCCTGCAAACCTTCAGATATTAAGAATCCACGGAGGAGAGTCTGAGCAGTGCTGGTGTGTTTTTTAGGAGGCTAAAACTGTCAGGCTGGGGCCTGTAATTCCATTTTGTTTGTATTAGATCATTATCCTGTTTTTACCGAGCTTTTGGATGAATATCAATGATATGCCATTAATTTCTGCTGATTTATCCGAGTCATTTCTTTTCCCCCAATTCTCCTTTTATTCTTCAGCTGCACAGTGGATTACTGGACTGATTTGGTTTCATTATTATATACTGAGACCAAGAAAGGCAGCACATTGTTACAGTCAAGATGTAAAAGATGACTAGGAGGTGGAAAAAAGAAGAGTTGTTACCTTTTGCAGAATTACTTTAATTGATTAGGTAAAAAAATCCCCATTCAAAGCGTTTTGTTTTGTTTTGTTTTCTTTTTTCACTCCCTGTTTATTTCTACAAAAGAAAACAGGCTGACCACTGGGACGTGAGTTACAGTTTGAGAACCCAGCTTAAAGGATGTGTGTACATATACTGTGTAAACGTGAGTGCAAGTCTACATAGGCCGACTGAGCAGAGCGCTAATATCTCCCTTCTTGCGGGACCACAGCCAAAGCATGCTAGATGTTCAGACTACATCCCACAAACACCAAATCGCTGTTAGACAGAACAGAGGAGAGGCGATGACTGAGAGGGGGAAACGCGAAGTCAGAGAGACGGAGAGGGGTCCGGGAATGTTGTCAAGATGGTAGAAATGAGTGTGGGGTGGGGCAACGTGAGGTGACGAGGAGGATAAAGAAAGCGTGGTGGCAAGTTCAAGGAAAGTCAGAGGCAAGCTGAGTGACAGGAAGTAAGTGTAAGAGAGGAAGCAGGAGTGCTGAGCTCTGAGGCTAGCTGTTTGTTTTTGTTTGTTTCAGGGGGGGGGAGGGTTTGTAAAGAGCTTTCATGGTGTTATGCCAACCTACCAATTCTGATTTTAGCGATTTAGCTTGTTGCGTTTGTGACGTTTACTGTTCTGTTCGGACTGTTATTTATTTGCATTGCTGCTGCTACTGTTTTTTGTTTTTTTTATTGCGTTAGACGCTGCTGTCACTCCTTTTCCCCAAAGGACGAATATTTTATTCTTGTTCTTTTAAGCCAAATAAGTGAAATAATGCAATGTCGATACGCGTGTTACCAAAATAAGCAAGTCTGAAGAGAGCAAAAGCAAGTGAGAGAAGCTTGGATAGATTAGAGAAGGACGTGCAGAAAGGTTGGCTTCACGCAAGTACTAACTCACGCCTCACCTCAAATGTACCTCTTGTGTGTTTTGAAAGCAGTTAATTGTCATATCCTGATGCCACACTACACACTACTACTCTGTACAGTGTAGATATGATTTGGGGGTTGGGCGGGTCTGTCTGTCTGTCCAGATGCTTTGTGCCACATCCATCCAACACTCTGTCCATCCACTCCTCCATCTGTCTGCAGGTCGCCTGCAAGCTTGACAACCTTGATAGTTCACACCAAAGGTGACCACAACTTAACAAAAAGACGAAAGAGCGTTGTTGTTATCATTATGAGTCTTGTTATTGACATTATAATTGATTACTCTTAGCTATGATTATATATGAAATCTCTCTAGCTAGTGGGAGAGGATGTGTGTGTATGTGTGTGGGGGGAGTATGTCCCATGTATGTGTCATATACAGTACAGAGGGAGACTGGTGCAATAATACATGACCAGCTGGCTCAAACTCACCGCAGGCCTGAGTCAGAAACTGAGCTCACCTGACTCTTGGCATCACTGAGCACCTGAATGTTAGCCGTTCGGGATAAGCGGTGTCACACCGCTGCTACACAACTGGCTCTGTTAGCTCTGGGCTTACCGATCTGAGTGTGTCCTCTTCAGTCAAGTTATTGAAGCCGCAAAAAAGGTGTTAAAGGTTAAGAGGTATACCGTTAATGTAAAACATTAAAAGTGACATTGTGCTCATTTCTAACTCCATATTTTTAGTAAGAGAATCAACTAGAGTAGCTTTGCACGATTTAGCCCCAGCATAGATTCAGCTTCTAAGCCCCACCTCCTTATAACCATATAAGGAAATATGTAGGAAAGTGATTATCCAGTGTTACAGTATCTGTGTAATGCAGAAAATAAAGCATAATGGGAATTGGAAGCACATATTTCCTTACTTGGCTAAAATAATTCTGATAATTTAAGAAGACTCATCAACACAAACTGAAATTGATGTTTGATTTATAACCAATATTCTCACACACGGACCTTTAATGTCGTGTACAGATGATGCTGCGTCTTTAAAATACACTCATTGATAATTCAGACCCAATTAGAGTCTTTCTGTGGTTTTTATCTGTAGATGCTGATTGATTAGGTTGCTGGCTTGGTAAGCTCGCTCCAAGTTGTTAAATGTTTCTGAATGATGACTGCGGTGTGACCCGATCATGTTAATTAGTCCCAGTTAAAGGTGGGCCAGCTTTGTGATGCAGAAAAACCCGGCTTGATCCTGACTCACTGACCCAGGCCTCTGAGCAGATGTGAGGTGGAGTTGGCCTGACTCCGTTAGTTCAGCCGTTCTCTGGTTGTGAGCTGGAACCAATTTAAAGTGGTGCACACTTCCATACGACAGGTGAACCCCCCCCCCCCTCAAAACTATTATATACAGCCCTGGTTCTGGTGCTCTGCCATCACAGCAGCCTGAGCTCTTCTCATCGGTGCAGTTTCAAATACAAGCTCGGCAGTACACGCCGCACTTCCTGTTCAGCGCTCAGTGTTCAAACTGTGCGTGCATGCGTGTGCCTCGGCTAACTCGTGATAAAGCTGGACCCAGTCTCCCGCTGTCGAGGTTCTCTGTTATTAAGCTGACATGTATTTCACAAACACGCGCACACACTTGCCGACCGTGCCGTTGGTGTGCATTTTCACTTGGTTGGCTGATGGTGCCACACACCACCTTTAAATCCTGTCACATGTAATTGCTTGTATGTGTGTTTGTGTGAGAGTCGGGGGGGATTAAACATCTGATTACTAAACTAGACACACACACACACACACACACACACCAAATGTATAAAGTTATCCCATTCTACACAGCAATGCTGGCTACTGCCGATAGTGGCTTTATGTGTATATTAGCTTGTGAGGGAGTCTGTGTGTGCGCATGTGCGTGTTGTAACCCCATCTGTAAGTAAACCAAATATCATTTTCACTATGCAGTCATTCAAACCATGTCAGCTTGCTTCAGATTTGTTTGTTTTTAAAATTTGCTTTCATCTGGTGAGGTGGGGGGGAGATGCTTCGTGTACATACAGAGTTGGCATCGATGCATTTTTACATTTATTTTTTTATTTTTTATTTTTTCCCCCCCCTTCTCGAGCTCCACCTCCCTCCTTCCTTCCCTCCCTCCCTCCCTGTGTGATTAATATCACCGTCTTCAGCGAGAAAGCAAAAGAGATGTTTTGAATGAGCTGACAAATATTTAAGGAATGTATTGGGGTCGGGGAGGGACGAGGGGGGGGGGTCAGACTGGGGTTTGTAGTTTGTTTTTGTCTTTTGTTGTTGGTTTGTTTTTGGGGGGTTTTGGCGAGGGGGGGAGGTAACAGATCAATGCTGTAAAGTATATCGATTGCATGTTATTGTCACCGCTGTAACTGCCATTGTTTTGTTTTTATTGTTTCTTTGTTTTCTTCCAAGACAATGGTCGGTTGGGACGGGGATGCACAACTTTAATCTTATTTATGATTTTTACACGTGTACTCTGTATTTTTGCTTTTGCAACAAAAAAGTTGAATTTTTGTGTAATTAGGAAAAGAGAATTTGTTTGTTTTTTTT